CAGGAATTTCCATCACTAAGTAATGCAGTCATAAAGTGAGACATTGTGTGACCGTACTGCTCAATGATGGCAACCTGGGCACTCCCCTTGTATTGTTAATTGAGAGTCATGGATCATTAAGTGAATATCTTAGTCAAGCCATTTCAGGCTTTGTCCCACCCCGACCTAGCCTCAGTAAGGTAAGGAATTGCCTCCAGCTCCCCCCACATGCCTATCTCCCCCACCCTTCTTAGCCCTTTGGCCTCCTTTTACCTGCCTTGCAAGGTGACAACTAGCCCCAGAACCATATGAATTTGGGGCTGTTTACTATACTCTCAGAAACTGCAGCTATCCTAGCCCAGCCCACTCACAGTCAAATCGACCTCACCACTCTACATTCCAAGATCCCTGCTGTCCTGCACTCCACCACTCCAACTGACCTTCATCATCTTATTGCTCCCAGTACTGATGAGGTGTGCTTGGCCTGGCTGTTGGGCCTGGCTGGGGCTGGCTTCACACTACTGCTGTGGGGCTGCTTTTGTCTGAAGAGCCATCCAATGAAGAAAAGGAACACAAGATGAATTGTGCAAAGCCCTCCTGACCACAGCTGCTATCTCTCAAGTGCAGGAGATCAGGAGTCAAGATAGTTCAAATCAATACAGGTTTATTGCAGGCTAAAGCACTCTACAAGAATCTGTACTACTAATGTTCAAAGCAAATTGGTGGTCAATAAGAGTCAACAGAATCAAGGTGGGCTGGACTTAGATCTCTTGTGGGTGCAAAGGGACTTGAGACTGATGGTGCATTTGACCCCTCCCTTGAGTTCAGCCTGGTCATCTCCTATATTACCTGCACTTCAAGCAATAGCTACAATACTAGAAGAACTCCCAAATTGTGCACCAATCTTGAATGGGGAAGTGCAGCCCCCTCCAAGACCAAGGATGACAACATCTCCAACCCAGGGGATCCAAACAGCTACAACAATTCAGCCTTGTTAGGATTGGTCTGCCCCATGTGGAGCCAAATAGCTTCCAAACTCTGGGTCAATACATTAACAGCTTCATCTGTACCACTTGGAATTGAGAGGTAGAGTTGCATATGATCAGATGATTCCACATCCTAAACTGATGGTTGTCCTTGCCCAGGGGTTTCAGGCAGATGTTGAGGAGGAAAGGAAAGGAAGATTGTCAAGCCCTGGAGTACTTCTTAAAGAGGAGCCACAGATGTGATCTCTCTCTTCCTGGAAATGAGGGAGAGCACTAGAGCATAGTACCTCTCGCTCCTAACCCCTACTGTCAGTTTAGAATGATACTGTGGTTGAAAGCTGCTGAAAAATCAGTGAACACTAGGGTGGATGCACCACCCAATTTTGGCTCTGCCAAAGGTTTCATCAGCAAGCATGACCAATGCTGACTGTGTGCCAGACCCTGGTCTGAAGCCAAACAGGGCCAAATAATTCCTTCCTTCCAACATCCTTTGTAACTGTCCTCCAACCACCTTTTCCACAGGAAAGATTGGAAACTGGCTGATAATTCTCAGGAAGGGATCCAACAATGACCTCTTGGAGGGGGGGATTACCACCCCCTCTTTCAATGAGGCTGAACCCATCCTGTGGTCACCTCCCAGGCCTCTTTATTAATCCAGGAAGGACCATGATCTAACAAGTAAGTGGCTAAACTAAAAGACAAAAGACCTTGTCCATTACCTTGGGTGTAAAAGAATGAAACTCAGGTCAGATAACCTTAGGCAACTCGTTATGACTTACCCAGAATCCAGTTCCAAGTGAATCTGAGCAACATTGCAAGAGAGCATGAATATTTCTCACCACGGCTCAGGAAATTATCCCAACCCTACAATAGGTCACTTTAAATGGGGCTGCTGGATGGCTATTGGAAGACACAAGTAACAATCCAGTTTGTTAGATCAAGGATTTATATATGAATATGTATAAAACATAAAGTTTACCATGTAATCTTGGGTTAAATCCATTTCTCAGTCCAGCTTTTCATAGGACTACTGCAAGGATAAAGGGGATAGCAAATTTGTTATCTTGATATTTTGAAAGAAGAGTGATATAGAATCCTAAAAAGAAGATATCTATAGAAAGTTGTATGCAAAATGTCTATCTAATTCTCATTATTCAAAGGCTGAACATTATAAGAAGTACAGTATACATCATGCCTGTGCGTATTTCTCTGCATTAATGTAGTACAAGAAAAAGTTGGTACTGCTATTAGAATTAATTCTTATACATTCAGTGAGGGAGGAAAAGCAGTTTTAGGCACTGCAAAGGCAGGGGACAGATGGAAACCAGATCTCCCATACAAAAATAGTCTGAATATTGTTTCTATATACAGGACTTGCTTTTGATACACAGCAGTCATTTGAATTATTTTCTTATGGCTTCTTCATTTTTCCTCAATACAGCCAATTTATCTGAAGTTCTTAGATTCTTAGGAGCTTGCCTGTTTCTAATACAACATGTTAAGTAAAATCTAACTGTTATTGAGAATGATGCTAGATACCAAGCCTTTTCTCAAATTGGTGTGAACAGTGTTTAACAATGTAGATTTCTAGATTAGGTTAGATGCACATATATGCCTGCTAACAGTTAAATCCACTGACATTAAAGGGATTTAAGTTAATCATAACAAAAGCTAGGTCAACACATAACTTTGTCACACTATGATTTGTTTCGCTTTGCGTAGTATTATGTGAAATATCAGTCATTATATAATATGTAAACCGTGGCTCATGGCTTAGCATATGTGTGAAGTCATCTAAGTAGGGTTTATTGAAATGTCCTTTAAAATCATGATTTTAATGAACCTATCTAAATCCTATTTGTTTCTGTGGATCGACCCAAGTATAGCGAAAACTGGATTAAACTTTTTGTGAAGGTTGCCTCAGCAAGTTCTAATTACTATAAACCTCCCAATCCTAGGGTTAACTGAAGAATCAAACAGTTGTGCAGCTGTTTTGCATTTAATTTTATTTCTAATTCACAAAGATTAATATAGTAATAGGACTCTAAGATAGTTTACTAGTGGATATGGATTGGTGTTTTTCCGTTTCCATCTATGCAGAGGACTCTCTGCCCTGTATTTCTTGTGGCAATAGGCAAATTGCTTTTTGCCAAAATATATATATATATATATATATATAATGATCATTTATAATGTTCTGTGTGTAAGATACACAGCAAAAGCCAAGTGGGTCTGAGATGTTGTGACAACCACATTTAAAATGTGGCCTCTAGCATATGTCACCTGATTTAATTAAGCCTTGGTTAAACAGGATAGTAATTTCCAGCAGTTGATACAAGAAAAGTCAGGTCTGTTTCCGGTATAAGAAGGTTTTTAAAGCAACACGCTATTTTATAATTCAACATTTGATTGGGGCTGTGTTCAAATATCCCAGCTTTAAAGGTTAAGCAGAGACATATGCCCGGCATATGATGCTGTGAATAAATGAGGTAATGTTGATGGCTCCCTAACAACCTAATCTGTTTCAGCACTGTTCTTTGGCAAAGTCTGAAGTTGAACATTAACTGGGTATAAATTTCATAGCATGTGAATCAGGTCAAAATGAAGTAAGATTTTGTTTGTTTAAAAAGAACACAATCCCACAAAAAATATTTATATTTTAAAGATGTTTTCCAATCTATTACCCATATTTTTGCTACTTTCCCTCCCCCTCTCTGCAAAATTACAGTATGTATGGATTGGAAGCTGTACTAACTGCTATATTTGGGGAGAGAGGAAGTTTTTTAAAAAAAGTGAAGTTGGGGCTGGCAATCAAATGATTAAAGCCCCGCCCCATTTTATGTCCATAAAAATGGTTTTAGTTAGTGGTAGTCTTGCTATAACCACAAGATTCAAATTCAGACCTTAGTTCAGTGATTTGGAAGTCAAAGTTTGCAGTCCTACAGAATTGCAAGAGAGATATACAAATGGTTGCAATTTTGATTTCAGAAGAATAAGGTTACATCTGCAGGAACAGTAAATACTTTGAAAAGGGAGACGCTTGCCAAATGTTAGAAATAGATATAGAGATTTTTAAGCTAATTTTTTTCCCCAATGTTATTCTGAAAAGAAAGAGAGAAATGTGTATGATTTCTTGCGTTTCATTTTGACAGTCAAAGAGAGAGAGGGCTCTGAGCCTAGAAGTTGGGGCTATGTCTCATTATCCACAGAGAGATCAAATGAAATAGCCCTGAAAGCAGAAATAACCTCAAGACTGATGGATGTAGAAAAAGAAATGTGCCAGGCTTTAATTACATAGCCAACATCTTGACTTAACTGTCTCACTCACACATACATGCCAGAGGTGGTATTCAGCTGATTCGCATGAACCGTTGGTGGAAATTTGGCCAAGGTCGCCGAACCAGTAGCGATAGCTGGCTGGCCACGCAGTCGCCGCTCGCTCACCTCACCAATCATGTTCGTCCCTGCCATGTTCTTTGCACACGCACATCCCATTCCCTTGCAAGTCCAAAGGCATGCGCATTTGCAAAGAACATGGTGGCAACAGCAACAGCTTTTTTCGTGACCTCCGGTACTTTTCGGCAGCCTGCTGCTGGGGGCCACCAAAAACTGTGGTCAGCTTGCCTTCTGGACTCTGGACCAGCCGCTGCAGAAGGTAAGCAGCCTGAACAAAGAGATGGTAGTGGGGGAGGAAGCAGGGCTAGGGCCAGGACCGCTAAAGGAGGGGAAACGGGTGACTTGTGAAGAGAGTGTGGGGGTAAAAAATGAAAATTCCCAAAAAAAATCCTACCTTTTCCTGTGGGCGTGGCTAGGTGGGGGGGTCATGTGACTGAGTGGGCATGAGTGTTAGTGATGTCAAATTGGCCTTGCCCACTCAGTCACATGCCCCCCACCTAGCTACGCCCACTGAAACAGTAGCGAAAATTCTTGAAACCCACCACTGATACATGCACATGCACACACACGCACACATGGATGCTCCTACATAGAAGACATTGTTAGCCCTTCAAGGTAGTCCAGACAAGCAGAGTATGATCACAGTACTAGCTCTATTTTTATTATAAGGTTGCATTAACAGAATCTGACAAGTTGAAAGAACCCCTATCTTCCTTCACTTTTACTCTCCTGAAAACTAGGGAGGGTGTCTTCTTTCACCACTCTTTCTCCATTGGACTCAAATTTCGTTTATCAGACCATTGTCTAGGCTTTGGTTCTTCCTCCTGTCTCCCAAGGTCATTTCCACATACCGTTGGAGATGTGTACTGGCCAATTTTTAGAGAAGTTGCAACATGGGTCTCCTGGCTGATTCTAATGGTGGTAAAAGAAAGAGTTAACATTTAGCATTTACACTCAAGGAACTCAGAACAAGAAGTCAATAGCTTTGGGACTCAACTCATGATTGGGTAGCATAGAATGATCAGAAGTAGCTTGACACTGGGAATTAAAAGGGATCTCAGAAAAGTTCCTTATAACCTGATGGAGTTGATGTTTATTTGACCCAAAGGTAGGGGGGGAACCTCTGGGCCAGAGAAAATGAAAGGATACAGAATTAATTATGACAGATGCTCACTCAATATTTTTACCAGCTGTTCTGTTGTGAGATGTTGAAACTTCAAGACTGATCTTTTTAAAAAAAACAGTTATGGTTTGCCCAATATAAATATATTTATTATTTATTCAGTTCATTCAATGTAATTACTTTGTCACTGAAGCAACTCTAGCAAGGGGAGAATAAAAACAGATTTTAACAAATCTAACAAAAAAATGAAATCCAAGAATAACCCCCCCCCCAAAAAAGAAAGAAACATGAAATCAAAAATACATTTTAAGGAAGGACTGCTGAATAGTGTTCTTTTAATATAATTTTTATTAAAAGAAAATTTTACATAAGATTAAAAAACTACAAAAACATAAATGGAAAAATTGAAAAAAAAATATGAAAAAATAAAAGGGATGCATTGCTAAATTTTGGAAATATAGATAATGATGACCGTGCCTGCTATTTACCTATTAATAGCAGTACAACTTACCATAGCATAATTTTAGTGGGTGTAATTTACAACATATTAAATTGCAACTAATTCACAGTAGGAATATCTAAGAAAATCCCTTCTTGCTCACATAATAAAAATATACTAGAGGTCCAGGTGACAGTGTTTCACTTTCTTTTCCTATGATGCTAGATTTCTATTCATAGCTTTACTAATTTGGGGTTTATATGTCTGTAGTAAGAAAATACAGTCATTTGAACTCCCATCCACCTTTTGAAATGAAGCAAGTTAGTCATAGGCTTGCCATCTCAGTGAGAATTAGCTTCAACAGAATCTAGAAAGTTTATAGAATGACCCAATGATCAGAATCTATTAAATGAATCTACATCTTATATCTCTTCTTGTTTGTTTACTCAGGTTTCTCTGTCATGCCAACAAGTCTCTTAGAAACTCATAATCTTGGTATGATAATAGAGTTAAAAACAATAGATGGAATTCAAAATAAGCCACAAAAAAATGGAAGGACCAACATCATATCATCTTCAATTCAGTAGTATTTCAACTTTCTGTTCTGACCTTAAAGCACTTCTGAAAGGGCCAGGACTTCACTTTGAAAACTTATTGGAGAAAAGGAAACCCTTCCCAAGGTAGTTTTCCATAGGAGAGAAACTATCACCAAGAAGGCTCAACCACACTCTCCCTAGCGTGATCTCTTAGTAGGGCAAGCCTTAGTAGACCTTCTCTCCCTAATCTCTCCAGATGGGCAGATTCAAATTACACTAAGTAGTCTCAGACATTCGCAGTCTTAAGCCATGTAGCCCTATAGAACTGACAGCCAACACATTTCCATAATAGAGGAACTTGGATTTCAGGTCAGTCAGCTTCCCAATCCACAGCCACACTGTCTTGCTGAAATTAAGCCTAAACCAGCTTTCTCTATCGAGAGATGAACAATCTCCAAGCACAAAGACAGAAGCTCCCCCACTTCTCCTGCTGAGCCCAATCCAGGGGTGAAATGCTCCCGGTTCGGACCGGATCGCCCGATCCGGTAGCGATTGCGACAGGTGGTTTGGAGAACTGGTAGCAAAAATCCCTGCCCCCCCCCACATGCCCAGCTGAGCCGCGCAATCATCAGAGGCTTTTTTTTTACTTTTAAAAGCATTTTTTTTACAACCTCTTCGGCCGAAAAAATGCTTTTAAAAGTTAAAAAAAAAGCCTCTGATGATCGCGCGGCTCAGCTGGGATTGTCAGAGGCTTTTAAAATCATTTTTCTGCAACTTCTTCAGCCGAAGAGGTTGTAGGAAAAAAAATGCTTTTAAAAGCCTCTGACGATCCCAGCTGAGTTGCCTGATCATCAGAGGCTTTTAAAAGCATTTTTTTCTGCAACCTCTTAAGGTTGTAGAAAAAATGCTTTTAAAAGTAAAAAAAAAAAAGTTGGCCACACCCACCCAGTCACATTACCCCCACCACCAAGCCACGCCCACAGAACCGGTAGTAACAAATTTTACATTTCACCACTGGCCCAATCTATCAATATATAACTGAGATATTCTTTGCCCTGCCTTTAGATAGATGTTAAATGGTAGGAGGGGGGGGGAAGTACTTAAGGACTCAGTTTGTTCTTCCACCATCTCAGGAAAGGTTTTACTCCAACACAGTAAATCCTTCTAGTTGTCCCACAACATGATAACTGGTATTGAAAGCAGTTAAAAGATCTAGTAAGATCAACAGAGATACAGTCCTACACTAGGTCAGTTTGCAAGAGCAACCAATGCAGTTTCTATTCCAGACCTAATCCCAAGTGAAAAGGGTCCAAATAATCCGCTTCATTCGGGGCTGTCTGCAACTACAATCCCATTATTTTTCAACAAAGTTTCCTAAAAAGAGATTATCAGACAGGTCAAACACTGACTTTGTGAGGAGGGTGCAATATTTCAAAGCCAACCACAAATCCAGTAATATATGTAGGGAATCCCACTTTTGCTTTTGAATTTCTTAATGGTGATTCTTAGATAGGCATGTTTAATTCATGCCATCTCTCTCTCTCCTCACTGCCTGTCTAGCAGCATTCTTATTCATTTATGTTATTACAACACACTTTTAAAAATCTCAGGCTTGGAAGGGAAGTCTAATGTTTGCTGTTCTGGGAGAATTTGAAGCCATGCATGCAAAAAGGATAAAATCACTTTTAAGTCTGCCTGTAGGAAATCCATCTTGGCAACCAGACAACTAGAATTAGTTATTAAAGAGCTGTCAAATGAATAAAGACACCTCTGTAGGGAAAACCACTAGAGGCATTTATTTTTTTCAGTGTGAATGGTGGACTAATACCAAATCAGCTTTCACTTTCTACTTTTGCCTTTGCTCCCAGAATAGAGATCAGACTTAATAAACACAGGTGGAATATTTTTTTAAAGAAAACTGATGATTTTTATTAAAACCTATTACAAACTGTTATAGATTTGCTGTTTTTAGATGTCTCAATGGAATCTCAATTGCACATATGCAATTGTGGCATAAGATTGACTAAAACTTAAGTAAACCTACATAATCTTGGGATGGATGGATGGATGGATGGATGGATGGATGGATGGATGGATAGAGTGATGGATGGGCTATCAAGTTGGAATAAACTTTTAACAACCATATGGATATATCTTCTCCAGGATGATCTACCTCCAACCTAGTCCCTCAGGTATTCCAAATGTATCATTGCTGCTTTAATTGAGTCAATTCACCTTGCAGCTGATTGTCCTCGTCTCTTTCCAAGCATTATAACTGCTATCACTAACTGACGTGGTCATAAAGTGCAATGTCACATTACCACATCACTAACCAATGGCAGTTTTGGCAGTCATGGTTGCTGTCATTAAGCAAGGACCTCATGGATCATTAAGCAAGTACCTCACATGATAGCAACTTCCAACTTCCTATCAGCTTCCCCATTGATTTTGCTTATGGGAATGCAGCAGGGAAAGTTGGAATTTGCAATCACTAATTGTATGGATATTGCAATGACCAGAACTCTGAGGATGCATCATAAGTTCCTCTTGCTCAGCATCATTGCAAATTTGAACAATTGCTAAATGAAATGAATGGTCGCAACTAAGGACCCTCTGTAGACTTTCCCAAAGATCTAGATCTCTGCATATCATGACCAAAATATTATAATTTGAGCCTGGTTGTTTGTGCACCTCAAGTGAGGAGTCTGGGTTGGTTTCTTCAATTATTTACTTATTTACTTGCTTTCTTGGCTGTCCACAGTATTCTCAGAAGTCTTCTCCAAACCAAAGTTCAAAATCTTTCTATCATTTTATCTTTTCTATCCTGTCACAAAGAAAACCATGCTTGCACAATTTTAATCTTTGTGGGTACAGATACATCATGGCATATGCATAGACACCTCATGGTATCTGAATATATTTCTGAGACTTTCATTACTGTCTTCCAAGTGCTGGAAGCATATTTCTTGACTGTAGTTTTATAGGGAAAGACTCCTCAAACTCACATCAGATGACAATGGATAGAAACTAATCAAGGAGAGAAGTAATCTAGAACTAAGAAGAAATTTTCTGACAGTTAGAACAATTAATCAATGGAAGAATTTGCCTCCAGAAGTTGTGAATGCTCCAACACTGGAAGTTTTTAAGAAGAGATTGAACAACATTTGTCTGAAATGGTATAGGGTTTCCTGCCTAAGCAGGGGATTGGACTAGAAGACCTCCAATGTCCCTTCCAACTCTGTTACTCTAAGACAATTGTAGAGCATTTTAGTTGGCAGAAGATGACATGCTGAACATTAATTTCATATCACATAGATAAATTCAATCATAATTTCAAGTGAAAAGCTATAGACATTTTAGATCAAGCCTGATTTAGGAATGCAAGAGAATTCTAAAAATCTGGCACTGTGACAAATTAACATTCAGAAGGTATGTAGTAATAAATCCCATTTATGAACTATTCAAAGGGAATAATTAAAAGTCAAATGAAGGGGCAAACCTCCCAGAACACATCCTTTTTTGTCTCAGTCAACATGAAAATAAGCACAAAATGATCTCAGAAAGGCCTGGATTGTAGCATGCAAACAAAACAAAAAACAATACCACTAATCAACACGTCTGCCCAAACCAATTAGTAGGACAAAATGTTCTATATAAACAGTCAACACACAGTACTTTCTCATGTCATAGCACTGATTATATTACCTAGAGTGGTACTGCAAAAAAACCAAGCTCAGAGAACACACCTTGTCATCAATTCATTGACAGACATATCTGATTCAACATACCCTGTTAAGACTCCTCAGTATCCTAG